CGGGGGAACCTTGGCAGTGAGCTCGGCAGGGATCACGCTGGATCACAAATCCCTGCCTCGCAAACCGGAAGTCCTTGTTTTATTTATTTATTTATTTGATTTGCCAATTGTTTACAAGATAATAAGTATAAGTGTATACATAGTTGTGAATACATGAAATGGGTACATATAAGAAAAATAAAAGAATAAGAGAAACAATAGGACAGGGACGGTAGGCACGTTGGTGCGCTTATGCACGCCCCCTACAGACCTCTTAGGAAAGGGGTGAGGTCAATAGTAGACAGTCTAAGGTTTTTTTTTTTTTTTTTTTTTTTTTTTTTTTTTTTTTTTTTTTTTTTGAGTTTGTATCTGTTGTGTGCTCTTGTGTTGTTATGGTTAAAGCTGAAGTATTCATTGACAGGTAGGACACTGCAATGTATGATTTTATATACCATGCTTAAGTCGGACCGAAGACGGCGTAATTCGAGGTTTTCTAGTTTTAGAATTTCGAGTCTGGTGGCGTAAGGTATTCTATAACGGGTAGAAGAGTGGAGAACTCTTCTTGTGAAATACTTCTGGACTTTCTCAATTGTGTTAATATCACATACGTGATAAGGATTCCAGACTGATGAACTGTATTCGAGTATTGGTCTAGCAAATGTTTTGTATGCTCTGGTTAGTAGTGAGATATTACCAGAGAAAAAGCAACGTAGGATTAGGTTAACAACTCTTAATGCTTTTTTGGCTATGTAGTTGCAGTGAGCTCTAGCACTTAGATCATTAGAGGTGAGTATTCCCAGGTCCTTTACAGAGCTTGGGTCATCAACAAGATCTTGACTATTCAGCTTGTATTTTATTTTCTGATTTTTTTTACCAATATGTAAGACAGAGCATTTATTTGTTGAGATTTGGAGTTGCCATATGTTAGACCATTCAGATACATAGTCTAGATCTTTTTGTAGGGTAGTAGTATTGTCTGTGGTATTGAACAGCTTTACATCATCAGCGAAGAGAACGCAATTGCTCTTGATATGATCACAAAGGTCGTTTATGTAGATTATGAAGAGAGTTGGTCCTAGAACACTGCCTTGGGGAACACCACTATTGACAGGTACTGGATTTGATAGGGCGTTCCCAATTTTGACCATTTGTTGTCTGTTTGACAGGAATGCTTCTATCCAGTTATTCAGTTGTCCAGAGATACCATAAGATTTTATTTTTAGGAGTAGTTTGTCGTGTACCACTGAATCAAAGGCTTTGCAGAAGTCTATGTAGATTGCGTCTATTGCTTTGCCCTGGTCGAGTTGAGTAGTCCATATGTTTTTGCAGTGTAAGAGTTGCAGATTACAGGATAGTTTTTTTCTGAAACCAAATTGTTTATTGGAGAGTAGGTTGTTGGTCTCTAAATGGAGGATGATGGATTGGTTAATAATTGATTCCATGACTTTACAGGTGATGCAGCATAAGGAGATTGGTCTGTAATTTTCAACTAGGCTTGGGTCTCCCTTTTTGAAGATGGGAATGACTGTGGCTTGTGACCATAGGTTGGGCAAGGAGCTGGTTCTGAAAGATCTTTCAAAGATTATGCTTAGAGGTTTGGCTATGGCAGCGGATAGTTTTCTTAAGAAGTAGGCACATATTCCATCCGGTCCAATAGATAGAGATGGTTTTAGGTTGCGTAGTGCTTTTTCAACGTTGTCTACTGTAAAATCGATATGTATTAGATCATTATTGTTGTCTGTGGTACGGCTAGGAAACATTGGGCATGATCCATTACTGTTTACAAACACTGAGCCGAAGAATGTGTTAAAGATGTTGGCTTTAATGGTGTCGTCGCTGCAGTCTTTACCATCAGGTCCTATCAAGGGAGGGATGGACCTTGAGTCTTTTAGTTTGTTGTTTACAAAATTGTAAAAAGCACGGGTGGAATTGGTGCTTAGAAGGTTTTCCTCTTGTTTAATGTGGTAATTGGTGCATTCGGTCTTTATCTGGTGGCATAAATTTTTATATCGGTTTTTGAAATTAGCAACGTGACCAGATTTGTTTTTCCGCCAGAGTGATCTCTTTTTGGATTGAAGTTTCCTTATTGATATGGGTAATCTGCTTTTTTGTTTTGTTTTTGGAGTTGTTGTTGGAACATATAGTTTGATGACTCTTTTGACTTCAAGTAAAAATATGTTGTAATGGTCTTCAACAGTATTGCATCCAGTGAATAGAGATTGCCAATCGAGGGATGAGAGATCGTTATCTATAAGATCATAGTTGCCTTTTTTGAAGTTACAACTAGGGATGACATCATTGTGGTGATTTTTGTGTGGACGTATGTTGAGGCAAAAGTCAATCATATTGTGATCACTACTGGAAAAGGGTTCTTTGGTTTGTATTCGGTAAATTAAATTCAAACTATTGCAGAAGATGAGATCGAGGCAGTTGTTCAGTCTAGTGTTGTTGGTTACTAGTTGTTCAAGACCTAGATTTGTAATAGCATTGAAGAAGGTTGTGTGTATGATTTCAGTTGTACAATTATTTAGGGTCCAGTCAATATGAGGTAGATTGAAATCTCCAAGAAAGATAAAAGGGTATGGGCAGGATGTAGCCCATGTTAGTAGTGTATTTAGCTTGTTTACATGTTCGATGTCATAATCAGGTGCTCTGTAACATAGTAAGAATCGAATTGTGATATTTAAGGATAGTTCACAGATGATGGTTTCAGGAAGGGCAAGCTCCTGGGTAACTTGGATATTTTTTAGATGTAAGGATTTTTTATAGAATATAGCAACACCACCTCCTCGACGATTTTCACGATCTGATCGGTAAACATGATAGTCTCTTACTGTGGTAATGGAGTCGGGGAGAGATGCATTGAGCCATGTTTCACAGACAAATATAATGTCGAAGTTAGCCATATTTAAGAGGATGAGAAATTCAGGTATTTTATTCACGAGGCTTCTTGCATTGAGTAGTTTGCATTTAAGTCCGGGAGCAGTTGGGATTGAGGTAGTTGGGGGCGTGCGTGCCTAGTCTTGAGTGATCGTGGGTGGTGGGTAGTTTTGGGTGATGGTGGGTGGTGGTAGGTGGTTGAGGTAGGGTAGTGGTTGAGGGTAAAAGTTGGGTATTGGGTTGCGTGTCTTACTTTTGATGCAGTCAGCATGGTAGTCAATGTACAGGTCCTTCTCTCCGTTGTCTAGACGGGTTTTGAGTTCGATGCGGAGTGCACGGGAGCGGGCACGTTGCTGTATGGTTAAGCAAGGGGAAGTACTCTGCAAACGCTCAGAGACTCACAACTTCAGTGAAGCATTCCACCCATCTTTATGCTCCGCCCAGGGGGAGGAAGGCGTGCGGAAGCAGCCCAGACCGGCGGAGGTGGAGGGAACGATTGCTTGGAAACTAAGTAAGCAAGCAAGCAAGCGCAGGGCTCGGTCAGAAGAACCGGGCTGCAGAGGGAGGCTAGGTTCTAGGTCCAAGACGGCCATGAAGAGGCCAACCGAACCGAGCCACGCGCCTTGGAGAGCCGCAGCTGCACCCAGCTGCATCCTGTGCGCAAGCCCGGCTGGCTGGAAAGTCAATGGGCTGTGTAGCCAGCAGTCAGTGAGCCTGCGGGGCCAGCACCTCGAATGCCCCCCGCCACCTCTTAGCGCCCCCCTGCTGGTCCCCTTACCTCTTACCACCCCCTTAAAGCATTTCACTGCCCCCCACGGGGTGGTACCACCCACTTTGGGAACCACTGGTCTACAACCTATAATAGCAACATTTATATACAAATCAAGCCCATAGTATATAAGATGAAATGTGAATCCAGTCAATGAATGCATACCTTTCTATAGTGTATCTCCATAACTTCTTACCATATTTGCTTTCTAAAATGCTAGAGGTACATAGCAATGACCTTGCATACAATTATGGACCAAAACATGGATCAATTTTACATTTGAGTCTTTGTATTTGGCCTAATCATTTATTTCAAACTGACAAAACTTTCTCATGCAAAAGGCATTCTCCAGTTCTGGTGAGGTGAAATTGGACATCACATCTGACTAGAGCTGAGTTGAATAGAATTTATTTTTTTAATTATTATTGTCAAAACTAAACTCAAAATATATATTTTTCCACCTCTTATTGGTCCTATACTGCTTTGTTTATGATATATTATAAACATCATAGCTATTCTTACCTCTGGCAACATCTGGAATATGTCCTCTGTAATGTGGATGGTTTTTTTATTGTCCACTTCATAAGTCATGTTGCTTCCCAGTGGGGTATTATTTTGAGAAGCAATAAAATTATGCATAGCATCGCAGCATGAAGCAAGCTCTGCCCTGAAGTTCATAATAAAAATGAAAGACCAGTATAATGAGTAGAGATATTAATATGATGATAATCAGCACCAAATACAATAAAATTCTGATTCATATTGTTTATTATTATAAACATGCATTAAATTGGGGGTGTCAAACTCACATCACATTATCATTATGTGATGCATTGCAACTTTTTTTTATTAAAACGGGGGTGAGTGTGACAAGCATGTGAAGCATCCAGCCCCCAGGCCATGAATTTTGACATCCCTGCATTAAATGACCCCCAACAAGACATTCTTGAGATAAGTTGGATTTCAATTCATATAATTTATCAACCAGTTTGGCCAACAAAGGCTAGCTAAGGATTTTAAGAGTTGGAATGCAACATATTTTTGATAACATCATGTTGAAAAAGGGTTCAATAAGATTAATGACCTTAATTTCAAGCAATGAAATACCACAGTTATTTTGTCATTTGTTATTATGTAGGTCTATGTAGTTCTTTTTTTAGGAATGGATCTAGTCCTGATCAAATACCAGGACTACCAGATAATAATGAAAAAATGCTATCGCTGCAGACTTTGTTTTGGAATTCTTCAAAGCATCTGCCTGTCCAGTTAAGGAAAACACATGGCAAAATAAAGTTGATCAGATATAACTAGCACTTAACAGACAACATTAATTTCACACCCCAATTTTTATTAATGTCTATTAACATAAAGAGTATAGTGGATTAATAACTTATTAATAACTTCTGATTTAAAATACAAAGTACTCTTAAGACTCCCGGGCAAAATATCGTTATGTATCTATATTGGTAGCATCTGAGTTTTGCTCAGTGATATTCTTTATTTTTTGGTACTTAGAAGGCTTTTTGTTATTTTCAATATTCAAATACATTCAGCCATGATAGCAGACAGGTCCCAAAATACTTTTAAAAAACCACCTAATTTAATATTATCTATAGCTTTTAGATACATAAAAAAACCTACTTTTTTGCCTATGAGAATAATACTTGATAATATTCTTTAGTAATGTCCCTTCTGTGATGGAATGGATCTAAACTAAGCTTTATAATTATAATGTTATAGTGTTATCCTGCTTAAATTAAGCTCAGGATTTCAATGAATTGTTTCCAGGAAATTATGCATTTCTCCATTACTCTAGTGCAGGGGTGTCAAACTCAATTTCATAGAGGGCCTCATCAGAGTTGTGTTTGACCTCAGGGGGCCGGGGTGGGTGTGGCCAGCTCAATGTCACTCATGTCGGGGCCATCTGTGGCTCCCAAGCTCTGTTTTCAGCTGCAACAGCATCCTGCAACCCTCTGCCAGCAAAAACGGAGCTCGGGACAGCCCTCCTGAGCTGTTTCTACTGGCAGAGGCACCGCAGGCCAGTCCTTCGCCATTTCCAGCACGTCCTCATGGGTCAGATCTGGCCCCCGGGACTTGAGTTTGACATCCCTGCTCTAGTGAAAGGCTTTTAAAGTATAAAGGCACTGGATTGAATAATATTAAACTTAGTTGATCTAATCTGAGTGGATCCTAAGCTTTTGATGAAGCAATCCACTTTGCTGTTATAGGATGTAGAGGTGGAAGGTCTACTCGTACAAAATCCATTCTGAAGTACACACTTTAGTATTTCAGAATTATCCCATGGTAATTATTCCTGAGTAAATTTATATATAGGAATTATTGGTTGTTGCATTTTAACTTCACTGAAACTTCACTGAAAGCCCAAGGGAGCACCTTGTTCCAAAGGACTCGGGTGATGGAAAAGAGCCCAGTTAGCTGGGATTCCTTGATTGACGGTATCTGCAGCATGCTTCCTCTGTAAAATGGGTGGGGCAGGCCTGTCCCATATGGGTGAGATGGTTTTTCTAGTAACCAGGACTCATGTTATGCATGGCTTTATAGATAATAACCAACACCTTGACTGGCAGCCAAAATAGTGGCAGCCAATGCAGCTCATGGAACAGCAGTGAAACATTCTAGGGGCGCCAAAGATTCCTTGCACTGCTAACTATGCACAAGTTGAAATTTCCTAATGGTTTTCAAGGTTAGCCCCATTGCAGTAGTCCAGGCATTAGATGACCAGGGCTTGAATGATTGAGCACGGGACTCCTGGTCCAGAAAGGCCACAATTGGCACACTACTTGAAGTTCTCCTAGCTGCATCTGCTACCTGCTCTTTGAACAGGAATATCCAGGAGAATCTCCAAGTTGCAGGTTGGATCTGAGGAAGTGTCACCCCATCCAGAATTAAAGATGTCAAAGGCCTGGATCTAAGAGTTCCACAGACCTAAAACCATTCAGTCTTGCCAGGGTTCAGCCATAACCTCTGTCCCCCGCCCACGCATCCTCCAGGCACCTCAATAGGATCTTCCCTATCCGACTCCATCACTGTAATCATTGTACAGCAGCAGTTGCTACTTTAAAAAAAATTCTCCAAGGGATGAAACATAAAAAAACCGCACCAAACTTGATTGCAGGAAATACGACTTCAGCAACAGAGTGGTCAATGTTTGGAATACTCTACCTGACTCTGTGGTTTCTTCCCCAAACCCCAAAAACTTTAACCTTAGACTGTCTACTATTGACTTCACCCCTTTCCTAAGAGGTCTGTAGGGGGCGTGCATAAGCGCACCAATGTGCCTACCGTCCCTGTCCTATTGTTTCTTTTTATTTTTCTTATATGTATCCATTTCATGTTTATACTAATACCTGTTGTCTTATAATTGCTTGACAAAGTAAATAAAATAAAAATAAAAATAAAATGGGTGTACAATGTGTTACAAATTAGAAGAGAGATTTTTTATGAAATATTTTAATTCTGTAAGGCTTTACTTACCCTATTATTACCATGAATAGGATAGTTCGGAGGAGCCAATACAGATATGGAAAAATAATGATTTTTAAAAATTCATTGTTAATACTATTTTGTTTGTTTGTTTATTAAAACATTTATACAGTCACCTATATTCTTACCAACTCTGAGTGGCTCCTAATCAAAAGCTAAAATATCACATGAAACCATATTAAACCTATGACACTAAATACACTAAAATATTAAAAATAAAAATTTGGCATCAAGATAAACTGTTCAGTCATTTAATCTTATGCCAGTGCCTTGGGGAAAAAGTCAAATCTTCAAAGGCTTTATGAAAGGCCAATGGGATAGAGGAAGAGGGGGGCAGGGGCTGCCACAGAAGAGACACATTTCCTAGCTCCCCTCAGATGGAAATATTTAGGGAAAAGGAATAGAAGTATATACAGCCCATCTGGCCTGGTAGGATGCGTAGATTTAGAGACATAAAAGTTAATGATTTAGGGAAAGGTAGCCCCACATGTAACCTGGCTGTGTGCCATATAGGGCTTTTCCAGGTGATGACCAACATCTTAAACTGCACTCAGAAAAAAAATGGAAGCCAGTGCAGCTCATTCAACAAAGGTGTCACATGGGCAAATCTAGGGCCCAGTCGGCAAGCTTAGCATCTTAACTGCTGAGCTACTGCTTGGGTGTGCATTGCATTATTTTCATTTTAAATATGCATTTTACAAAGTACGTTTAAATAGAGAGTTGTGTATGCAAGTAGCTGCTTTAGCCAGGATGTGAATATCAGTTAAAATGTCTCTGTGATGGATAATATTCAGAAGCAAAGCTATTCCCAACGCAAGAGAGCATTATTGTAATATAATCAGAAATGGCCCAATGTTTTTTTTAAATGAAAAACTAATACAAAAAGGTTTCAGTTAATTTTATGCTTCGTCTAATGAGGTAAATGCAATCAAGCAGTATCATGTTAATACCATACATCAGTGGGACAAGAGACAACACAAGAATATTTCTTAAATTATTCCTTCCTCATTTCTTAAGATGAATACAATTATGCCAAAATAAATACTGGCAATGTTTTGATTTTAGCACCAGTAATTACACACACTTTCCTCTTTGAGAATCACTAAAAAATATTTGGTCTATACATCACCTTGGTTTAATCACACCTTGGTCTGTGAAATCTTACTATCTAGTGTTTATAAAATGTACATATTTTATGCAAATAGTTTCCTTTGATGTAAAATAAATTAGTAGCACAAAACAAAAATCCCTCTTTCATACAATGGAACATATAAATCCAAAGTTAAATCCAAAACATTTCATTAAAATAAATTCCAACTAATCATACTTATAAACTAAACATCAACCAATCTGTTTAAGTTGGTAGGAAAATCATCATAAAACAGCCCAGGAAGATGTTCATTAACTCTTGAAAAAACATGTATGGATAATGATTGTGTTTTTGTATTTATGTTATTTTATTTGTGTTCTGTTTTCTGTCTCAAGATGCTTAGAATAGCTCTGGAAAAAGGTGGTGCCAAAATCAAATCAGTTTGAGTCAAATCAAATCAGATTAGATCAAATAAAAATTATATAGGGGAATCACAGAACACACACACGTTTCCATATCAAAATATTATCAGAAATATAAAGACTTCCATAAGAGAGGCAACTGAAAATCATAATGACATCCTTCACCTACTAGAACTGAAATTCTGTACTTTTGCACTATTTGAGCACCTAAAATTGTTTTCAACTCACTTTTTGAGTCATAAATATTATTCTCAAGTTACTGTGCCTTAGACTTGCATTACAGCTTATACATGACTTATAGCCATGCAATAGTGGAAAATATTTGTAGCTCGGGTATAGGATGAGAATGGAGGTTCATTCTCTGAGCCTGTGGGTTGCTTTCCAAATGTTTTGTTACCAGGCTAGCTAACATTGTCAGCAAAATTTAGGGAATGTCAGTGTTGGTGTTCTTCTGCTTATACAGAAGAAGTAGATCTTGTGATGGGAGGGTCACATTCAGGTGAAGGTCTAGTAATGGGTCATGTCAGGTGTGGGTCATGTGAGGTGAAGGTCTTGTGATGGTCTTGTGGTGGGTAGATCATGTCAGGTGAGGGTCATCGGGAGGTAAAGTGCTGCTTGGGGGGATTGTGGATGCTGGTTGGTTGTGCAGTT